GATGAAGTCAACATACGTACTAAAGTGCTGGACACAAATGACGTATGTACAGATTGTGATGAGTTGTATGAGCCCCTAATAAAATGATTATTTAAAAAAAAGAATAGAGAGTCCAGAAATAAGCTTGTATGTATGGTCACCTGGTTTTCAACAGAGGCACCAATGTAATTCAACGGCAGCAGGATAGTCTTTTCAGCAGATGGTACTGGATGATCTTCAAACTCACTTTCATAACATATCATCCATAAATCTGAGCATAAAACTACAAAAAAAACCCCTAAAAAACAGAACCTCGAGAAAAATCTTCATGAACTTGGGATAGCAAAGATTCTGTTAAGACAGGATGCAAATATATTAATACATTAACAATAAAAGAAAAAGTGATTATAGGCAGTCCTCGGGTTATGAATGAGAGCCATTCTTGTGTCTTTTAAGAATATCAATGTCAGGAACAGGTGCATATGGTTCTTGTTTAGTCTTACTTTAGCATAGGAAAAGAATGGAAACCTTTTCAATGATTTAAAAGATGCATGTGGAGAAAGTGAAGGTAATTGTGGTTGAAAATTTTATTGCGAGTAGTGTTGGTTCAATAGTTTCACAGTAAGGGTAAATTTGCACAAACATAAATGAAGTTTGGGCTGAAACCTTCCTGCCCTGCTCATAAAACCAGCACCTCCCTCAAAGATGGCACCCCACGGTGCAGCAGCGAAGAGGTGCGGCTCTCACAGTTCTGCTAATAATCAACGTCTCATGCATCAGGTTCTTCAAAGGGCTCACCAAGCCTTTTCTGAGTTTTCTAACTGAGGCTTTGACCTGTAACTTTTCCCATCGTTACCATAATGAAGTGCCCAGATTGTGAAAAATCAGGTCTGTACCTGTTTTACTTCCTTGGCCATGGCAGAATAAGTTGAAATTGGTTTCAAGTCTTTTCTGCCTAGTCTGTCTTACTTTGAACTCCACTGAAACTGGTTCAGCATCGTAGGAACACACAGCCCCTTCTGACAGATGGGTGACGGCTGTGCATGAGGTGCACTGGAAGGCGAGAATGCTACTACTAAGCCACCACTGCCCCAAAGGAAAACTACTGGATAGCTAAAACACAAAGTGTTGATCAATAGAACAACAAATGAGTATCAGGATCATTATATTCATTTTTTTTAAAGCCAGTAAAAATAGTGCACGTATGATTCAATCTATTTGAAATTCAGTGATTGCCGTAGGAAGGAGCCCTGGTATTAAAACTGTCAAGACATTTATCTGCTAACCCAAAATGGCTCTGCTAGAGAAAATATGGTCATCTGCTTTAGTAACAATTTACAGTTATGTAACCTTGCTTTCCTATTTGGTCATTGAGTCGTTAGCAGTAGGTTAGTGGATTGGGGGCTATGGAAGATGTCTGCTGCTAAGGTCAAGAGAATCCTTCCTTTAGGGGTGATAAGCATGATCTCTCTATGGTAGCAGTAAACTCACCATATATGCAACTGTTTATATTAACCAAATTGTGCACTTTGAATATATACAGGTATTAGACCCTAATAACACTAAGTGCCACAGTTTGATTGTTGAAACTCGTAGATTCCCAATCTTATTTTGCTTACCCCACCCCCTTTCCAGAAAAAAAGCTACTCAGTGCTCCCGTGACAATTAAAATCTTGGGTATTGTCACTCATAATCTAGGATAAAGTATAGGGATCTGCTTTTGCAGCTCCGCCTGGATTGGGCCAGTAGGCAGTATTGCCCACTTTAGGAAGCACTACTTAAGCTTTATAGTACACTTAAAAAAAAAAAAGAAAAAGCAAGAAATATGAGTCTTCTTACTATGTCCTTTGAGGTTGTTCTATTTAGTGCCCCTTGTTCCTTCTAAGTGAGGATCAAATTTTTCTGTTTCTTTAAAAAAAAAAAACAGTTGAATTTTTATATTGAGTTGTTTACAGGTTGCTGTGGTTAATAATGACATCTTTTATGACTTAACATTTAAACCCTCTAGTCCAGTGGTTCTCAACCTTCCTAATGCTGCCACCCTTTAATACAGTTCCTCATGTTGTTCCCCCAACCATAAAATTATTTTCATTACTACTTCATAACTGTAATTTTGCTACTGTTATGAATTGGGCAACCCCTGTGAAAAGGTCATTTGACCCCCAAAGGGGTCGTGACCCACAGGTTGAGAACTGCTGCAAGTCTAGTCCATTGTGATAGTTAGGTTTTCTGTGCCAACATGACTCCTGTAGGAACAGGTGGGCAAAGTTTAGCCTATCAGTCAGGTCGCAGCTTGATTGGAGGGCGAATGAGATAAATGTTATCTGAGGCATGTCTCTTCTCTTTCTTCCTGGAGGTAGCTACACATGCTCTCTGCTTCACCTTCCTGTTGGCTCGCCACTGTGAGCCACACCGATGGCAGCCATGCATTCACTGTCATTGTAGATAATGACTTCTTGATACAAAGCTCTCTCTTACACATAAATGAGTGTCCTTGTATTTGTTTCTCCAGTCAACCTGGCTTAAAACAGCCATAAACACAACAGGTCATCATTTCTTTCAGTAATGTTTTATAGTTTTCAGTTACATTTATTTCTAGAGATTTTATGCCTTTGTGTTCTTGTAAATGAAATTTGTGTGTTGACTTTGTACACCAGAACTCATGCCATCTCTGACTGTGAGTAGTTTTACTTTCTCCCTTTCTGATTTGGATACCTTTCTTTCCTGTTGTTGCCTAATCCTTTTGGCTAGAACTTCCAGTACAATATTTAATAACATTGATGAAACATGCATTTTTATTGTATGTGAACGAAGGACTTGAGGAGAAACTGTGGGCAACATGTGTCAATTAGTGGGCCTCACTGTAAGGTGACGGCGTGGCTTCATGAGTTTATATTTCTCCAGAAAAGTGGAGGCAGGATTTCTGGCAGCTTAGACTTGGGCTGGGAAAAGGAAGCTGATAGCCTCATTATTCAGTATGTTGGCTTTTCCCTCAATATTTCCAGTCCTTTAGTATGCCTTACTTATTTCATATGTGTTGGGGTTGGTGTTTTTCTGGTTCAGTTTTTTTCACCCATCACATTTCCTGTCTTCTGACGAAGTATAACTGTCCTTTTTAAACCTTCAGCCATCTCCCTGTATCAGTCCTCTGCCCTTCCCCCTGTGGTGTGGTCCTTGCTACCTCCACACCAGGCTCTGGGTTCTGCAGGGTGAGTTGACATGCTTGCCATCGGTCTCCCTTCCTCTTCTGTTCTGCTAAGTCTTTTATCTTCTTCTGGTTTCTGTCTTCAACTCTAGTGATTTGGGGCTCCAGATATCTTCTAGGTTCTTTGAAGATGCTGTTTACATACTGTTAGATCTCTCGGGGGAAAGATGTACCTTGGTCCTTGGCTCCGCGAGAGAAAGAATTCACACCGAAGCCTGGTTTGTGATCTCAGTGAGTTTATAGAGAATAGTAGCAGCTTCAGGTTCCACAGTAAATGGAACACAAGCCAGACAGAATCCGCAGCACAGTTGTGGGCCTGCAGCCTGGCCACTCCAGACTGCAGCCCAGCTTATTACATTGTGTAGCAGCTGCTGGGAAAGAGTGTGCCAGAGCAAAACTTCTGGTTTTTCAGGGGCCCTGTTAGGTCAACAATACTGCTTGACCCTATTGGCTGAATCAAATTCACCTGGCTTAGATGGGCCAATCTAGGTGTAACGCCCACCTAGGTGTACCACCCCTTCCTGGCCAGAAGCTCGAACCTCTGAGCATGCATAATGGACGTCCCAGGCCCTATGCTAGCTACCTAACATTTCCCCTCTGAAGAGATATGGACCCAAATCTTTGGGGTACTGGGTGACGACATCTCTAGCTACTTCCTGCTGACAAAAGGGGCGAAGTGGGGTTTGGGGTACATACCCTTCCTACTCTGTTGGAAGGGGTTGTCCATTCAGGGCCCAGGATGGATAGGTTGAGGTGGTCCAGGAGATGGTCCTGGAGCTGGCACACTTGATTCAGAGGCCTTGGTAACCTGAGAACTTTAGGAAAAACAGACAAACAGGTGAACAGTTTAAGTGAGGCAAGGGTAAGATTGTGAGATGGCAGTGCCCTTAAAGTTAGGTTAGTGTCACAGGAAATAAATAAAAATCTTAGGACTAACAAGCATGAGTGTTGATTCAATTTAAACACAGGAACAGGGGTAAAAGCATTCACAATTTTCCCTAGGAGGGTACAGGGGTTTGGCACTACTGGGTGCAGTGGGATCACTGCTTTATTTATTATCCTGAGGCCTTGGACCAGCTGATAAGACCCATCTTTCTTTTTTTTCCCCCCCAATCTTTCTTTTTAACTGGTAATATGGGGGTGTTTCAGGGCGAGTTAACAGGGACCAAAAGTCCGTGTTGGAGGAACTTACTAATAAGGGGTTGTAACCCTTTGATGGCCTCAGGCTTCAAAGGATTCTGTCACTGATGGGGAAACTGGGTAGGATCTTTCAGGAAAGTCTTTACAGGGGTAGCATACTTCGCTTTGCAGGAGACTCTTGTGTCCCAAACTTCAGGGGTTATGGCTTGTTTCCACAGTTCCTGTGGGGGAATCTGTGGCTCCTCCACTGTGAGAAGCATTTGGAAAGCTGTAGGACAGGCATCTTCAAACTACAGCCTGCAGGCCACATGCAGCCCACTGAGGACATTTATTCAGCCCGCCGGGTGTTTTTGACCCATTTGGTTTTTTAACTTCAAAATAAGATATGTGCAGTGTGCATAGGAATTTGTTCATAGTTTTTTGTTTTTTTTTAAACTATAGTCCGGCCCTCCAACAGGTCTGAGGGACAGTGAACTGGTCCCCTGTTAAAAAAGTTTGAGGACCCCTTCTGTAGAGAGATGAGGATGAGGCCCTATGACTACACAGGTGTGTAGTTTGGGCAGTATATCTCGGCCTAGGAGAGGAACTGGACATTCAGGGATTACTAGGAAGCTATGAGAAAAATAGAAGTTATCTCATAGGTATCTGAGAGGTTCAGTAAAATTTTTAATTACAGGTTTTCCTGACACTCCCTGGATGGAGCAGGTGCGGGGTGCCAGGAGTCCAGGGAAGGAGGTAAGGACAGAATAAGTGGCCCCAGTATCTAAAAGGAAATTTACTGACCTACCTGCCACATCAGTGTTCACCCTAGGCTCCAGACCAGTATCAGTTATCTCTTGCTGCTGGGCCATCTGGACCGGACTCCTTCCATCCTCCTCTGTTATCAGCTGCACATTGCCCTGTGGGCACCCTTCCTCCAGGTTTTTGGTCTTAGGAAAGAGGCTAGCCCAGTGGCTTGCAATGGAAACATGGTGTTCGTGAGGCTTGTTCCGGTTAGGGCAGTTCCTAGCCCAATGACCAGTCACCGTCAAATGTAGCAGTTGGTAAATGGTTCAAAGGTCTGAGAAACCTGGGAGGCATTCGACAGGCGTCACTTATTAAGTGCAGCCAATACCTGGGCATGCTGGATGTCCCTTCTCTCCTTCTCCCAGGCCCGAACCTCCCCTTCCTGCTCCCTGTTGTAAAAGGCTATATTAGCACAAGCAACCATCTTCTCTAGGGTAGCTCCTTCAAATTTCTGCACTAGTTTTTGGAGCTTCTTACGAATGTTCGGTGCAGCTTGTATGAGAAACTTATCCCTGATTAAGACTTGCCCCTCATAGGATTCTATATCTATTGCAGTATGATTCTTCAGGGCCTCCTTTAGCCACACTAAAAAGCTTACAGGAGACTCTGTAAGTCCCTGGTGAGTCGCTGTCACTTAGGCATGATTAATGGCCTTTTGCCTACCTGACTTTAGTCCATTTGTGATGCACACCAGGAAATATTCCCATGCCCACTTGTCCTGAGGCTCACTGTGATTCCAAGCAGGGTCAGTTAAAGGTACAGCTGTTTCCCCTACAGGGTACTTTTCATTCATCACATGTAACTCCTCTGCAAACTTCCTAGCACCTTTGAGCACTCGTTCTTTCTCAAAGACTCTCATAGTCTGTCCCAGTATGACCATTACATCCTTCCAGGTTAAATCATAGGCTAGGGTGAGGTGCTGGAAGTGTTCTATGTACTGTGCAGGTTTGTTAGCATAACTGCCTAAGTCATTTTTAATTTGCCTGAGTTCAATTAGAGTAAAGGCTAGTAAATTGCCTGGGGAACAAATTCCACTGCTGCTTCTACTACGGGTAGAATGTTCATGGCTGTTTTAGGGCTAGGGGAATCGTTGCCCCTAAATCCAGGGTCCCTTAGGGAATCCTGGGTGCGCTGGGAACAAAGGTCTTTACTGCTCCTCAAAAGGAAAAATGCCCTAACATATGGGATCTCTGCCCACTTCCCCATCGTTCCACAAAAATGTTCTAGCCGGGTCAGGGTTGGAAGGGAAAGTGTACCATTGGCTGGCCATGATTCTCCTTTCTCTAAAAGATATTGTGGCCAAGTAGAGTTGCAAAACGAAATCAGCTTCTCTGTCCAACCTCTCTGATCAAGTCTGTCCCAATTACACAGGGTATATCTGAGGGGGCAATTCCTGGGTATCGAGCTGCTAAGTATCATCTAGAAAACACAAAACAAGGAGGCTATTGAGAGCTTGATGCCTCAAGGTCAGTAACCGCAGCTTCAGCGTGCACCTCTGGGGTGCCGTGAATCTGAGGCCTCAGGCAGGTGCCCCCACCTGAGGGAAGGAGTCAAAGACCAGTCGCTGCAGCCGATGTTAGCTCCGACCATTGTTAGACCACAAGCTAGGAGGGCCACTGCTTAGTGTGGCCCCATGGCCGTCAAAAATGCCTGCCGACAGGAGCAGACTCTCAAATCTCTGAAAGGAAGGGATGTCTATCTGGCAGCTTGGGGAACCTTTAGGGAAATTGGAATTTCTGGCTGGAACATCTTGGCAATGGAGCTGTCCCCAAAAGTGCCGGAAGCAGCATGACTGAAAGGCGAAAGTTAACAGTTACTCAGGCTAGGCTTCTGAATGTCTTTGGCCTAGGCCTGGGCAATGGAAAACTAGCTGGTAGCAAGGAACAAACCCACACTAGTAGAACACTAAAGCAGTTTGTTTGAAAAAATCAGGAGAAAGCTAAAGGGAATGGAGGGGAAATGGAAACATTTGGTTCCCGGGACTAGGCAGGGATAACTCCCGGACCTAAGCGACCAACTACCTCGGCACTACCCCTCCATGTGTTTGGAGCGGTGGGTGCTATCTTGGCCAGAGTCACGTGCTCTGTTGCCCCGCAGCCAAAATGGCAGACACCCACACCCGGTGGCATCATCCTGCCAGGGAACGGAGAGTCACGTGGTTGGGAAAATGGCAGACGCAGCTTGCAGCCTAGGCAAAAGTCAGCATGGGGCCAGCCACCAGAGCCAGAGTCCTGCAGAACCAACAGGTTTTATGCGGGCGCACCCAGCCATCTAGCTGGCGGAAGCACAAAGCAGACCGCTGAGCCTCAAAAAGGCTTTGGGAATCGAAATCCTCCCACCCTGCAGGGAACAGTGTCCCAGCACCCTCCCAGAAATCCAGACTGGGGAAGGCATGCAAGTTCCTGGGAAGCAGGCACAGAAAGGCAGCCGTAAAATTCCGTATACCAGGAAGAGCAGGTGAAAAGGTGGACACAAAAGGATGGGGCTGCGACAATACATTACGAGTGTCCCCATGAGTCGTTTCGGGGAGCCATCCACCTCCACCGTGTTGCGGGAGGAGTTCAGCCTGGCTTCCTTTCCAGCTATGCACCGTCTCCCGAGGGTGGAGAAGTGAAAAAGAGTCCAAAAGGTGCCCAAAACCCCTAAGACCAGGATGTGAGGGTGCTCACCACGAAAGTATCTGGAGCCGGCTTATCTTATATATATCCGACTCACGGCACCAAATTATGTTAGATCTTTCGGGGGAGAGATATGCCTCAGTCCTTGGCTCCGTGTGAGAAAGAATTCACACCGAAACCTGGTTTTCTAATCCCAGTGAGTTTATAGAGAATAGTAGCAGTTTCAGGTTCTACAGTAAGTGGAACACAAGCCAGACAGAGTCCGCGGCACAGTTGTGGGACTGCAGCCTGACTGTTCTGGACCGCAGCCCAGCTTGGTACATTGTGTAGCAGCCGCTGGGAAAGAGTGTGCCAATACTGGTCGACCCTATTGGCTGAATCAAATTCACCTGGCTTAGATGGGCCAATCCAGGTGTAACGCTCACCTAGGTGTACCACCCCTTCCTGGCCAGAAGCTCGAACCTCTGAGCATCCGTGATGGACGCCCCGTCCCTATGCTAGCTACCTAACAAAACCTGTTGCTGCTTCTCATTCTTTAGGGGGAACTTCAAAGGGGAAGAGGCAGAAAAGCTCTTTACTACCTTCAAACTGCAAAACTCATACCCAACTTTTTTGTTTTTTAAATCATTTTATTGGGGGCTCTTACAGCTGTTATCAAAATCCATATATCTATTGTGTCAAGCACATTTGTACATATGTTGCTATCATCATTTTCAAAACATTTTCTTTCTACTTGAGCCCTTAGTATCAGCTCATTTCCTCCCGTTCCCACCTTCCCTCCCTCATGAACCCTTGATAATTTATTAAAAAAATTTTTTTCATGTCTTACACCAACCGCTGTCTTTCTTCACCCATTTTTCTGTCTGTCCCCTTGTGGGGGGTGGTTTATATGTAGATCATTGTGATTGGTTCCCCTTTCTTTCCTACGTGCCCCTTACCCTCCTGGTGTTGCTACTCTCATTATTGGTCCTGAGGGGTTTATCTGTCCTGGATTCCCTGTGTTGTGAGCTCTTATCTGTACCAGTGTACATTGCTTTGGTCTAGCCGGATTTGTAAGGTAGAGTTGGGTTCAAGATAGTGGGGGAGCATACCCAACATTGTCAGCTTCAGCAATACCAAATTCCTTATAATTCTCCAAGCACACAGTTCCTCTTCTTGCTAAGTCTTTTTGTCTGCCACCTCTATACCTTTGTTTCACAAAAAAGTAATCAGTTCATCTGGTATTTGCCAGATAGCAGTTACCATGGAGAAACAACAGGAAATACACTGGAAAAATTTAGAGTAATCGTAATCTGCTTAAAGTAGAAATGATATTAAATGCTCAGCAAATATTGTTTGAGTGAGCATTGAAGTTGATTGTTAATTAGTTGGCCAGAATTTGAGAAAACAGATTCTAATGCTTTTGCAGGGTTGAGGGAAACAGGAGAGACAAAAGCAGCAGGCACCATGCCCCAAGACATGAGCTGGAATAAATACAAACATTTAAAAATGCACCACAATATCCCAAGGATCAGTTTGTGTTGCTTCTCTCTTCATTATGACAAACACATCAGAATTCTGCTTGGCCACTAGGGACTATAAGATGTATTACCATTTCAGTGATGCTAAAATGTCAACAACAAAAAATGTGTTTTAGAGTAGAAATTCATGTCATCCTGGACTTAGAACTTTCTCCAGACTTTTTTTTTTTTAAGTTAAATAGTGCCGTCTTATGGAAGTTTTCAGGGAATTTTTTCCTTTACATTTCTTTTGCCTAAAGTTAGCAGAGGCAATTTTGTCTTTGTCAACCTTTAAAACATACCTGGCAAAAAATAGATAAATAAATAAATAAATAAAATACACCTGGTTAAAAATTAGGCCTTTTACATCTCACATGCTCTGTTTCAATCGGCACACATATCCAATGGAAAATTCACTGGCTTTCTGAACAATTAAGACTCAAAGCTTATTGCACAAGTAGGTGTCATCCTAGGAGGACATGTGAAGTAAACTGCTCAAAGACTTTTCCCACCTTTCCTCTCAGCACTATCTAATCATATCACTTCATGCTTCTCCTGGGAGTGCTTATCTCATGTACACATCCCATTAGTGTCTTTCCTCCTTTCTCTGCTGGGAACGTTTCCACTCCTGGTTGAGGTTAAATCCTTAACCAGGACTTTGACTCCTACCTCCTTAGGGCCATTCTCTTCTGGCCATCATTTACAGCAATACTTTCCTTAAGAGTCCTTGGGTGGCACAAATAGGTTAAGTGCTTGACTGCTGACTATCCCAGTCTCCCCACAGCGCTTCACAAGAAAGGCCTGGTGATCTACTTCTGAATGATCAGTCACT